ATATCTAGACTATATATAGACTTTCAGCTAGGAAATCAGAACAGATGAAACATTTTTAGGGGATAAAAATATGCCTACAGAGAATCATCAATAAAAAGGATTACACGAATTGTTTCCCAAAACCTCCAAAAAGCTAGACAACTGACTGCCACGACAAGTACAAGCAAGACGGCGATGTCACAGATGTCACAGTATTGCGGATAACAGGATGAGATACGCAAAGAAGTCACCAGATGAGCCAAAACCCGCGAAATTTAGCCAGGCTGCATGTCTGAACGAAGATACATGTAGTTCAGGCACCGATTCCAATGCTAATCTCCCAGGGGAAGCCAACCCGCACCGCCTGAGCCAAAACAGGACAAACCTAAAAAAACTGCTCCAGGTAGCGACAGCGGACATGCAGGAGGCCCACATGGCGCACAAGGAGATGTGTGGCAAGGCTGTGAAAATGATGAGCGAAATAGAACGCATCCTAGATAAATTCGATAGCGACAGTAGCGACGAGGACTAAACAGGCGAAATATTGAACTGCCAATTTCTTTTTGTTTATTTTTTTCAGTTGATAGTATTTGTAAGCGAAAACGCTGAAAACAAGAGGCTTTTTGTCACACAGTTCGTCTTTTATTTGATGTTTCTATTCGTGCCTGCCGCAAATAAAGGAAAAGTTACCCATGGGAAAACACCTCGCGTATTTTACATATTTAGTGGACTTTTGCATAGCTATAGTGGCTCTAGTTGGAGTTACGTGAAAGATCTATTTTAGCTCCAATAAAATTATTAAACTGCCGAATACTTTATACATTTCACGCCAAAATGTCATTCTCCTCATTGAAACAATCCCTTATTTAACTCATGCACGATCACGGGATTTTGCGTCGTTGCATGACATCTTTGGTTCTCTACAACTGAGGGCAAAAATATTGTCAAACTCTTGGCCATAAGCCAAACCTGTCAATTTCACACTGCGATTTTCAATGTTTAATACTACCAACGATTCAAAAATATTCATTACGGTACTTCTAAGACTCAAGCAACACATAAAGCAATCACGAATGGATAGAAATAGCAAAAAAAATTAACCTGGCTAAACGAATTATCGTAAGTCAAGGTGAGATAAAAAATACCGAAAGCTTCAGACTAAGGTTATCTTTTCCTCCAAATTGAAAATTATCCCTGCGTTGCTTTAACATGCTCGTGGTTTTTAATTTCTTCGTCCCCGCACTGTTGGGAATTGTGTTTCCTTGTTGCAAGGTTTTTGAGATCGTAAAAGTGGGATGCAGAGCTTTCTTTCCGGGATGCTTTTGACCTTGTACGAGTTGTTCGCGTGGCTTTTTTACGCTCTCACGCATTGCGTGCCCATCGCAACTTTGAATCAAAACAAGCGATCTCAATTACTCTATTTGGGCGACGCCCAAATAACAAGGATGGATACTGCCAGCAATGTACTCAAGTGCACAGAATGTGGTCTTCTCAAGGGGTTTAAGGCTTGGGTCAAAGGTGTGTTTGGAGAATATGAATGATTGGCAATATCACTATTTACTGTTTTTAATGAAGTTTGCACGTTCTAGTACTTGAGGACAACAGTCAGTCACAAATAATTGTTAACATATTATAAGAAATGTGAAAGTTCTATGTCTATCCTTATTTTCGACAAAATTAACTAGTGTACAAAGTTCTTGGATAGCAGACTCTTTTGCCTCCTGGCAGAATGTAAAGAACAAAATGACGGAACAGTGATAAAACGAGAAAAGCATTTCAACTATTTTTAGTTCAGATACTTGTTCTGTTCTGGCAATGTACTTTCAACAGCTGTCGTAAAAATCTACAACGAAGTTGCCTCATCAGATTTTCACCCTTAAAAGGTAATTACAGATTATTTAAAGTAATTTTAAGTAGCTTTCCCTTTTGTAATATATAATAATTATGAAAAGTTTTCCGCTTTCAAGCCCATTCTTTAAACAATGAAAAATAATAATTATATTACACAAGTCATTTATCATCTTGGACTGTTATTACCATTTTACCTAGTTCCAGTTTTATTGCAACTTAGTTCAGCTGTTAGTTAAATGATTAACTTTCAAACATGTCAACATTTTATAGTAACTTCTAATAAAATGGACAAAATTTGGCCATTTCCATCAAGAATTATCCTTTCTCCCTGCTAGCACAAAAAATTCAGACGACGACCAACCCAAGCTTGAACCAAGTTGCTTGTCAAGTGCAAAGTGCAACTTGCACTGATGCAATTTACCTTTCATCCTTTCCAAGGTCAAGCCAAAGAATTGTAGTTCAAAGTTAAGGCACTAGCCTTTACCAGTCAGAGACCGTCAGCAGACAAAGCAGTGCTTTCCATCAAAAAACGGTAAAGGCTTAGGCCTCGCTTCCTCTTTCTCCCCTTTCTAGTGTTGCCCGCACATGTTTTACCCTCTATCGCAGCAGTTACTACTGACGAAGTCTCTGCGGAAGAGGGACTAAAGAACGTGGCGCCACGCAAATCTATGCTACGAAGTGTTTGTGAGAAGTTATGAATTTCCTAAACGACCATGTTGGTTCATTAGTTCACCTTTCCATTTTACGCCGAGTTTTCTTCCGTCTTTTGAAGTCTAGGCAGTGAAGACAAACTATCATCTATTGAAATAGATTTCAAGTTCCATCGACTCCTCCGCTCGTAGTCTAGGTAACTTGTTACCTTGAGTGGAAAAGTCCTTTGTATCTCGTGCATCATTGAGACGAGGTCCAGCGTTTGCCAGCGCCTGGAGAGAACCGTTAGCATGGTGGCCTCAAAATAATTTTTTACACTAGTAGGCGGAAACCACACAAAAAGCGCCTCCGAGATTTCTTTGTTCAAGTTCATCACCGGTTGAGGAAAAAGCAGCAACTTTGGTTCGTCTGGAATAAGTGCCAACTTTTCTTTTAAACACGTCAGCATCATCATATAAGCATCTTCTTGTATATTAGACGTGTCAACATCTACATATACGACAAAGAGGGTAGATTTTTCATCTAGTGGGAAGCAACAAACAAGTATTAAGCAGTTACACTTTAAAACCCCACTATACAGTCCCTCTCACCATTGGCATAAAAAGCTCATGACGTTATGCTAGAGACTAAAATCTATGACCCTTTTGTTTTAGGTCTATATTTTAAACGTACGTCTCCTGCACCATTACATTGTGCTGCCTCTGCTCTGATGATGGTGGTGGGGGCGGAGTGGGTTGGGGTGGTTACGCTGTAATTGCTTCTTTCGGTCAGGTAGTTGCTCAGTATGTTGGATGGTTAGTTGACTGTTTCGAATAAGTTCACCTGGTGGTCGGTCAGATCATTAAGTAGTTGCCATAATCTTGGCTAAATAATAATGGCTAAAATGTTTTTGATTGGCAAGACAGTTGCAGTAAAATAAGCCCTTAACAGGAAGTATTACAAAATGCGATAAAGCGTTATTACAATTCTCAACCGCTATGCTTATTACAAATAACGTCGTGTTATTACATTTCTCTCGACAACGGTTATTACAATTTACAACAGGTATCACAATTTACGACATTATTACAATTCAAGACAGAACAAATGCCCTTTTAAAAGAAATCCTCTACTTCCTCCTGCAGTAGTGAACATAATGAATGCTGCCTAAAGGAAAATAAAGCAACCTGTTCTCTCGGATTTAATAAGCCCTTCCGATTATAACCTCTCCAAATACATTACGATATGGATATATTTAATATCACGAATCACACTTCGTTGCGATAGAGCTTAAGCAACCACGGCGACGACGGCAGTGAAAACGTCGCCAAAAAAATGAATTTACTTTCTTTCAAACTTTATCACGTCTATTTATTTCAAATGTGGGCGATTTTTACTGGAGTTGAAATCTCATGGACTGTATCCAGGTTCAAAAAAATGAAAGGTAAATTAAACTCATCGTCGTGTGTTAACGTCCTCTATAAAACGTCGCATTAAGGAGTTTCACTTCGTTGTCGTGCAGTGGACGGCAAGGAAATTTACTTAAAAGCGCGATGTACGTGCAGAGCTATTGTTTTACTAGAAAAACCAATTGCCTTTGACGCTGTCGTCCTCGTCGGGGTTGCTTAAAAAAACCCTCATTAACTTGATATATCGCGTTCTTAAGCTACCTGCAAACGGACGCAACAACTCCTAACATTGTTGGGACCTGCAGTGCATCGTGGGAAGAATACACTCAGCCCAAAATTCCGGAAATATCGTTCGGTTCGACCGGAATATTTGGAACCACCTTTGAAGGTGGTCCGTTTTGACCGGACCATTCATTTCAGTCGGTCGGTCGGTCGGCCGGACCGAAACGTCCGTTTCCATTTGACAAAACCGTTGTCCCCAGTACCACTCTTTTGCATCCTTCTTACAACAACAATAACCAAACGAGCATTGGCTTGGGTCGGGACTGTGCAACTGGAATGTACCTTCCATTGGGCGCGTGGATTTTTCGAAATTTCAAACCGGAACTTTTGTTGAATGGAAAGCGCCCTTTGAGTTCGACAGCCAGCTTATTGCGTGCTTGGCCCCAACAGTGTTTGAAGAGCTGTACAAACGAATCCAAAAGAAATGTTGAGAGTACAAAAGTTTGACCTGTTTCAAATTTTCCGCAACAACATGCAACAGGGTGTGCAAACGGACGCAACATGTACATGCAACAATGTTGAGTCCGTTTGCACGGGGCTTTAGAGGGAAACGAAACCAGACTCGTGCTCTTCAGCATGACGGGTTTGTGCCACAAGAATACACCAATGAGCCGCAAAGGGCTTTATCTAGAGGGCCAGTTAATTTCTCGTTAATATACAATTGGTGGTGAGCAAACAATAAGTTACTTCGCACTAGTCAAGTTAAAGGTTTAAACGTTAAGTTGAGACCATTTTCCCTGACCTTTTTTCTTGACCTGAGCGTGACATTGTAAATTATATGTTCACATTTGTTTAAAAAAATGGGTTCAGTGAAAAGAGAAGGAATGATTTATCGTAAATTCTATGCAACTAACCTTCACTGGGTGTCCATTTGTCCAACGTCATTTTGAATTTTTCCCTCTCCTTCTGTAGTTCCTGCGTCGTCTCGCCTATAATGTTCGCAATAGTTACTTTTCTGTCCTTCTTTTTCATTTTCCTCATTTCTATGTACTTCTGCAGTTCTTCATTTTTTTTCACTTCCATCACAGATGCCCTCGTTATCATCATCCCTTCAACTTCAAGCACTTCTATCAAATCCCTCGTGCTTTGTTGTAAGCCTTGCAGCTCCGTTTTTAACCTCTTCTCAATCTCTTGCGGCCGTCCAGTCTCGAAGTCACCCTCGATTTTACGCCACTTCTTTACCACCGCACATGCTCGATTTAATGACGTCAGTGATACTGTAGTTACTCTGCTCTGCGAATTAAAGCCTTGAAAAAATGAGCCAATGTTTTGAGCTTTACTGTCGGCTTGATCTGCTTCTGCATCGAAGATCAAAACTGCTACCTTACTGTAAAACCTCGTAGGACGTTTGCTCGCATTGAGCGTTTTTCTTAACTCTGTCAGAGGAAAAGCAGGTCGAAGCGTACGCCGTTTCGCCTTCTCCATTAATTCTGCGAGGTCATACAATTCCAGGGCTTCAAACACTTCTTTCAGTAGTTTTGCAGGGGTGTCCGGGAACAATTCATCGATGTTCTCCAATACTTCTGATATGGTAGGGGCGAGGCCGAATGATTCCAAAAACCACTTTTTACCAGTTGGGTCGTTTTCAAGCCGCCACTTTAATTCCACGATCACTTTTTGAGAAAGGTCTTTCAGATGAAGTTTATAAGAGGGTTCTAAGGAGAAAGACAACGATGAGCTCTTGTTATTATGAAAGGATGTCAGGAAATGGGTATAAGTAAACAATCGAACAGATAAATAGTTTTTAGGGCAGCTTCAAATTAAACAAACAGGCGTCTACAGCATAGAGAAAACCATTTGAAACACTTCTGAGCCGGAGACAATCAGTCATTGGGTGCCCCTGTCTGATTATCATACGGTTAAGTCATTTAAGAAATTTTGCTTCACTCACGAGCTCCGGCCAGCTTTTGATTTCAACATTAGGGTAGCCTGCGAACACGCTTCCAAGTGGAGCGGGGCGAAAAAGACGACTTTGTTTTGATGACGCCCATCCGACCACTTGCAATTATCCTGCAACACATATGTCAAGTAATCCTGGATATCAAGCATGAGACGCAGGACAAGACAGTTGAAAATACAACGCGCAGCGGAATATTTTTGACGAACTTCGAGGTGTTTCATCTGGTGATGAAATACTGTGTCCAATGCTTGATATTACTTCTCAAACAAAATGGTTTTAGTAGGAAAAATTAAGGATGTAAAATGAACAGTTTTTCATCTGATTTCCAAACACGTATTACACATTAATTTCCTTTGTACTTTCTTCATGAATTATTAATGAGTTTGAGAATAACATGTCAAAAAGGTAATAAGACCTGTCAAATTATGATGTGTCGGCTTCAACAGCGGTTGAATGCACTTTGGTATTTTTCGCGGAATGGGGAAATGCAAATTTGTAACGCGTCACATAGCATTGACAAACATCTGTCAATGTTCATCGCTCACTTGTCAACAGCTACCGATCTGACCAATCAGATCATGACACCAGCAGAATCTGGTATCATGGATGGGCGTCATGAAAACAAAGTCTGCAGGCTCCTCCCCCTTGTTTTCTCCCCTAGGCCACGCTAGGCTCGCGGATTTTCATTTCCGCCCTGCTCCACTTGGGAACCTGTTCGCAGGCTACCATCAGCGGTGCAAAGCCGATGCTTTTTATTGTTAAGATTTTATTCTTTATCTCAGTTCTAGACCCCTTATCACTTTTGAGTTAATATCTTGGTCAATTTCTGTAACGGTTACTTTTGGAAATGTATGTTGACAATCATACTCAACGTGAAGTTTATATAAAAGTGCGTAAGTTCACTATGTTTATCATCGTTGTTTGTGTTTTATTTGTGATTAATTTAGTAGCTGACTTTCCACCAGGAGAGTCAGTGGTTGACGACATCAGGCCACATCACGTGCTGTGATCTGTGACTTCGTTTCGTCTTACATAGACACTTGGTGTAAGAATCTAAACGAAGCAGGTAATTATAATTTCAATTACATCAGTCCAACCCGTGGGGGGGGGAATGGAGGGGCGCTTGGCAGAAAAAAAATTCTTGCAACACAAACGTTGCACACGGAGTAGCCCCTAAAAATATTTCAACACTGGCCTAAAAAAAGATTCAAGGGAAATATTTACGGAAAAAAATTCATGCGGCTTGAAAATGCCCCACCCACTCTCCATAACGTTTTTAATGGTCCGTACCCTACACCACGCTTAGCGATCCACGTGAAACGGCTACGCGCGATGCGAATTACAATAAACTTACAAAGCTAACTTAGCGGCGGATAATTTGCTCTAGTCGTGGAATGAGGCCCAATTTTCCGTGAAATGGCTTTGGGTTTGGGTCGTTCATCACTTATTGTGGCTCCTTTTACAGAAAATGTACAAGTCGAATTAACTCCAGCCGAGAGTGTGCAAACGATAACACAGAGACACGCACTTCTAGTGAAGGGACATAAGTATTCGTCACTTTCAACATGGTGGCGTTTGTTTACATTTTACGCACACCGTTTTCGGTACATCTATTTTTAAAATCACCTTAATATTTAGTGAGCTGACCCTTCATTTTAATTACATTGTCTAGGGGGTCAGGTATGGACTAGTTAAGATTTCTTATAATTATTAGTATAGTATATGGGGGTACCAGAACACAATTAAAATGGGTTGGTTTTTGTGGTTTGGTTTATTGAGATACCAGCGTATTTTTCAAATCTATATCTTTTTTATTTTCACAAGTGCGTTTGAAAGCAAATATTTCCAACTTATGATTTGAAGTATTAATGGGCCCTTATAGTAAAACAAAAAATGATCAAATTTTTGAAAGTAAATAATGATTATGTTTTGAAAATAAAGAATTATTCTATCACAAAGTGGCCATAAGCGTAACTTGTTACATTTTTATGTATGTAGCGTTGGTCATCAAAACAGCTTAGTGATATTTTATTTATTTCATCACTTCCTTGCTGTGGATTTTGACTTCTGATCGTTTTTATATTTTCATATGATTCAACAGTGTGTCTTTTTAGTTTTCATGTTTTGTATCTTTTTTATCACATTTTCTTGATTCCTTTGGCTGTCTTTTCCACTTTTTTATCATCTTTTATATAAGAGTACATTTTTGATCTCAATCCAATAAATTCAATAATAGGCTTGCCTGCTGCTTCACCTTTAGATTTACCAGTGACCTTTTTGTTTCTTTTGTCAAAATAATGAGAGTTTTCTGAATAATCACTACTATAAAATTTATCTTTATTTTTTCAAAAGTCTTTATACATATCATCAGCTTCAATTTCACAAGTTCAACTGCCTGTGTCAGTAAATAATAATTTAGGTTTGTTACCATAATTTTGTTTAATACACAGGGAGCCCGAACGCTGTAATAGCTAATAGAAAAAATTACATGTATTTATGCTGATTAGCTAGTAAAATAATAAGATGCATTTTCCTTTGTTCATGTGTCTTTATAAGTAGTTTTGGAAGGGATTTGAATCCGATCAGAGACGGTTAACATTGCTGGTTATCAAATGCGTTTGCTTGTCTGGCGCGTCGTAAATGAGTAGCTCAAGTTTCGTCAACTGTTGATCTAATGGATTATAAGGCCCCATGTATTTGTAATTTTCTGGAGTGAATCCAGCTTTTGGTTTTGGGAGATTTCCAACTATTTTATGAATATCAATACTACATCCATGAAGGTCTTTTCTGTAAGTTTTATAATTCTTTTTAGGACGTATTTTTGTTGATAATTGATTCAAACGTTGGCTTCCAACATTTCGAATGACTGGCTGAATCAATGGCTTTTTTCGTCAATTTAGGATTTCTCATTGCCCAGGATCAGAGAAAACTGATTGCACATCAATGTTGTGATCAATCAGGGATAATATCCATGGATCAATTGACAGCTGTCAAAACAAGTTATCCGATGACCAGTATCACCTGACCGTATCGCGGGCTCAGGTGTCGACCCATCGAGGTCGACTACTTTTATGAAGTCATCCGCTGACAAGTTACTAGTTTTCAAATGATTGCAGGCTCAAGTTTATTTTTGTTAAAAATTCATATGATATATGTTGTATTTAGGTCACTACGTTCCCGCACTATTAAGATTTTGATTTCAAACTAACCTCGGACGCGAACATTCAGCCAGTTATTTAGAAATACAGGCGGGGAAGACCTTTTCTTACCAAGGTCACGCGTTGGTCACGCTCTACGTCTAATTTTTATGCTCTGATTGGTCAAAATTTGACAGGTGAGTTCATGCGGAAAATTCATGCAGCATCTTCAAACTTGTTTACTTTGACAGCTGAAGCTGACAGAGGTTTGTGTCAACTTGCGATGTTTTTAACTGTCTTTTTCCACTGGATGTGCGAAATGAACTACAGCTGCTATCAATAGTCTTCTGTTATTCATGGCTAGTTTGTTTATTGTTTTTTTGGTTGAGAGATGCGTCGCTTGTCAAAGTCGGAAATCTGTTTTGGGATGGCATCGTTTTCGTTTTTCACCTTGCTTGATGCGTAAGAGGTTCAAAAGTCTCCAGCGATTCTGGCCTTCCTTGATAGCTTTCAGGAGCTGCATCTCGCATGATAAGCCTGAGTAATTATTGTATTTGATGTTTGTTTTTTACTTCGGCGGAGCCGCAGCGAAGTAAAGGATTCGCGACGCTCAGGAATGTTTCAAAGTTGACTCTCTTTGACGAGATGGGGCACGCAAAGTCCGTAGATATTCGGTTTTATTCGGCTATTTGACGAAGTGAGAGCCGAATTAGTTCGAGATATCTCGAGATCACTTCGATTTGTTTGATTTATTCTTTAACCTTTTCGAGGAAGAAAGAATTATTATTTTGGCTTTCCCAGGGTTTGAACCGACTCACCCGTGTCACCCGTCAGATCAAAGAAGACTCTAAGTTGAGGGATTAACCGATTGCGCTACTGCGGCCCAGGGTAGTTCGGGATATGAAAAACAGTTATGAAATGATGCACTAGTTTCGGGACAAGATTGGGCTTGCAAGTTCAAACATTTCACGAGTGAGCCCTCCTTTCGAACTGTTTTATGATGAATTTAAAGTTACAAATGCTTCACAAAGACATTTTGTCTTTGTTGAGTGTTACGTAGTAAAAATTGCTTTCACGCGTTGCGTGACTTTCTCGAACGTTCTCTACGTTTTTGGATTATTCATGAATAATTAATTAGGGCATGTCTACATTTCAGCATGAGTCAGCAGATTTGCATTAGTTACTGAAATCACAAATATGTCGAAAAGCTACTACTATTCGCCTGTTTAGTATTTTCTAGAACCTTATGTCAAACGGTATACAAGTTCCAAGCGAGTTCTTTTGACGAACTAAGGTTTTTCCCACGAGCTGGACTGCTGAGTTTAGCCAAATGCGACGAAGGTCGATTTTCAAGTTCTGTGTTTACAAGTTGGCGGAAGCCGTAAGATATCTGAAGTTCGCGTGAGAGTTTGTTATTATTGGCAGAGGCTATGTAGTTTTACTTAAGCTCAAGTCAAGTTTATGTTGGCGGATGCTGTGTTTTAAAGCTCTGTAAAGGCTATGTTCCTTTGGTATAGAGTGTTTTCACTCACATGGCCAGCATCTATGCAAATTTTTTGGAACAAAAGAAAGCTTTTGCATAAGAAAGGAGTTCAACTCCCACAGGACTGGTTTGAGACACCAACATGGCCGCCATTTCATTGTTTTGGGACACCAATATGGCCGCCGTGACGTCATGTGAAAACACTCTATTAAACTTCCTTGTGTTAATCCGACATCCCTGCATGCTGATAGTCAGTGAATAATTATCCTCAAAACATTCGAACTCGTAACATTGAGTTTTAGCCAATTCCATGCTCAACGTAATTGACTCCTTACCCATGCCTTACATATCTTTAATCAGTACATGTGACTGCTATGCTGTTTTTAAAGCCTGATGTGCCTAAGAAAAATAGAGAATTCTTTTTTCACTGTTTGTTTTGTTAGACTTGTTATTCACCGCCAGTAACCTCATATTTGACTTAGGTCTAAAGGTTTAGACCCAAGTCAAATTTAGAAGTCATCAGAGCATAACTGGGCTAGTATCTCAGTGATAATTTGTCCCGAAATGTTAGTGTTTGGCAACTGGGCCTCTCGGATGTTGCTCTTTTCAGAATATCCTGACAATTCCCATAATTTCCCAAATTAACACCTTACTCTTACCATGTTTCATTTCGTACTATTCCTGCGCATTTACAATTAGTGAGTTCCACAACCACGACGCCGAAGTGTACGCTCCGTAGCGTCTTGTTTATATCTAATTTCATGAAGTCGAGCACAGTTTATACGGCAAGTTTATGCACGTTTGTAAGATTTGAGACAATGATCTGAACTAGTACCAGGTTTGATATAATCTTACAGAACTTTAAAAAGCCTTTAGATATATTTTCTAGACATAAAACGTTCCGAGGACTATTTAGTTATAAAACCATTAAAAAATAATAATAATAAAAAAACATAATTAATTCTTTATTATGTTGAAGCGTAACTCTATTAATAATCACTGCAAATTTGGCCCTTGTTGTTTCTACTTTTGCTAATTTTTTCCCGCCTTTATTGACAAAACACGCGCCCTGCATCAAGTTTTCCTGCACTGAGCCGTGCAAAACGGGGGTAAACATTTCGCGCGTCTTTTTTGGACCTTCTCTGGTAGCGGCGAACTATTTCTTGACTGTAGCGGATTTCCACCCACTAAGTCGGCGTTAAGACAATAACTGACAGATATGATCTGATATACAGTGGAGATGATAATAGCAACCAAAAACAAAAAGAAGGACCCTAACGGTTAGTAAGGTGTTTGCTTACCACTTGTTTCTTCCACCCCAAACCCAGAAGGAGTGCCATGTGTGCCAGGTATCCCACTGTCACTTGATTCAGCTACCATACTCCTTACATCCTCGGCTTTCTCCAGATAACTCTGAACGAAGGCAAGTCTTTCTTGATCTAAAAATCTGGACTGACTGTTAGGAGGTCTCTCTGATGAGACAGGTGTTTGCTTTGGAGCTTCAGCATAAGGTGTTTTGCAGTACAGGCTAGAATCCGAATTTCTTCGGTGAATTCTCATGGGCCTCCCTTCTATGAAACGGTCAGCTCCTGCTAAAATTTTACAAAAGAGATATAAATGCGGTTCTTTAATTTTATTGTAAAAAAGAAGAGTGGTGCTTTTTACCGCCCACAAGTAGCCTGTGTGATAGATGTTAAATATATATTAAGAGAGAAGTTCTGCAGCTATACTTTTACTATCCGCCTAAAAAAAAAAACTTCACGCAAAAGTTATTATTTGACGTGAAATGTTCTCCGTAAAGATTAACCCCAGGATCGAAACTGTTGACTTTTGAACGGAAGGTGACAAGGTTCCCACAGAAGTTTAGAGCCGCATTATATGATTAAGCTCTAGTAATTGAACTGAAAAGTAAAACCTACCTTCCACTTTACTGGACAGCTCACTAAAAGCCTTCTGGTACTCTTCTTCCTCAATGGTCACAATCGCCTCCAATTCCTCCCCACCGGCAAGCTCTTCGCGTACTTTATCAGTGACAAAGAAGTCCTGTAACCTTTCTCTAAGCGTGCCGTTTTTATACAGACTCCACAAAGCCTTAAGCGATGCAAGACGTTCAGCTTGAACTGTGAGGCAGATGCAGCCCTCAGTTATTTGTCTCAAGATGGTGCCAACAGGAAGAACGAGTTCATTAACTCCAGCAACGAGCTGGTCAAATGTGAGCCCGCGATTTAATACCTCCAGGGCATAAGCTACTGTAAAACCACTTGCAGCCACTTTGAATATCGTCTTAATCTTCAAAACTAAAGTAAAGACAGAAATGTGTAAGTTTTTGGTAAACTGCTCTTGACTATATAATGTTTGACGTTAACGCTCGCTTTATACTTTCGTTCATCACGATTGTTCGAAGGCACTTTTAAGCAGTTTGCGCTATTTCGAATCATATAGTAAAAATCTCTTCTTAGACACTGTTCTCATTTTAACACAACTGTAGTACTAAGGAAAGGCAGCTAAGATTCAGCGTAGAATGATTGTATCTGAAGCCAACATAACGATTTTGGTTCTTCTCAGAAAATTATGCGTTATTTATTTCCAGCTAAGAATTGTCCACCAAGGCGAAACTGTTTATCTTAACAATGCCGCAAATGTTTTCTTTCAACTTTATTTGGAAAAACAAAAGTAAGAAGAATTATTAAGGCTCCACTGGTTTAAAGAGGCTGTGTCACGGCAGTCCAGTTTGTTTTATTTAATTTTGCCAATTACTCGCCCTCAATCGCTATGGAACTTAAAGTAAGTAACGAAAATACATGTAAATGACAAAGTCAGAGACTCGACACAAACAAATGTCTCCTGAGCATTATTTTTGAAGTTGCAAACAGCAGAGATAAAATTTCAAAAACTGTTAGGTTGAACAGTTAATCGTCAAGAAAACGGAGCCAAAGCATGATTTAGCGCCTCGTGAAAGACCGTTTTTTTATTGACGCTTTTGGTAAGATCTATCATGCGACGAAGAAAAGCTCGACCAGGAACAACCACGAGGCATGTAAAATTCAATAAACCTATCAGTGATCGGAGTTCTTTTAGGCAGACGGAGCGCCGGGCCTGGAAATTTTGTAACATCGGACGACATTTTTGAAGTTCGTCTTCTGGTAGGCGCGCCTCTTGGCGTACAGAATCAAGCGTAATTCCAGCAAATTGTAAAACAGTCGCGGGACCCATTGTTTTTTCAGGGGCCAAAGGAACGCCAAGGTACTGCCGCATCAAAATAAAATTATCTAAGTCGTGTTCACTTTGTCCTTTGCTTTGGGCTATGAACAAAAAATCGTCTAAAATATGTAAAACTGCTCAAGCACCAAGACGATTATATGGACAACCATTCGAGTGCCGTACTAATTGCTTCAAAAATAGCACAGGAACTGGAAAGCCCCATCATCGCGAGGCACCTTTCAAAGTAGTACCTGTTGTTCCACTTTAAACCAAGCAAGGAATAGTCGGCAGGGTGAATAGGAATTATACAGAAAGCAGATTTCACCTCGGTTTTTGCCATAAAACAACCCTTTCCTAAACGCTTGAGTAACTTCATCGCATCCCCTACCGATGCGTATTTAACGGTAGAACAATAATCAGGGATAAAGTCATTTACGGAAGATCCCTTGGGGTAAGATAAATGGTGTATTAATCGAAACGCAGATGGATCCTTTTTGGGAACAATACCCTATGGGGAGCAACGAATATTTTGAAAGGGGGGAGCTGTGAAAGGACCAACAATTCTCCCTGCATCATATTCCTTGCCCAACTTAGCATGAGTAGTAGGTCAGACAATTGGGCTGCTACTTGATGAGCTTAGAAAACCATTTTTTACCAACCTTTAAGTTGTTAGTTCCTAATCTTATTCATTCTGTTTTTACGCCTGTTGCAGTTGTTGCCTGTTGTTGTTCTGTGCCTGTTGAATGGGTCAGTCATTGTCTAGTCCCTAGGCCTCATTATTATGCGCGGCCGATGCGTTTAGGGTCACGTGGTCCGAGGAAGTTTTTGAGGCCTAGACAAACTCGGAGAAGTGAGACATTTTGTCTCACTTGGGGCGGAGCTTTTGGAAGCGGGCGAGCTGTCAATAACTTTTCCGTGATGATGAAAGATGTCCAGCAGCTATGGAGAGTACACAGGATAAACCGACCATTTTTATTCTATGCACGTTTTCATTGTTGAAAGTCTTTTGGCCTTTCTTTTTCATTTATCTCATTAAACTAATTTGAACTTTATTTCATCTCAAAAACTATTTGCAGGCTAAGCAAAACAGCGTCGCAAAAAAATTATTTGATCAAGAATCGGAAGGTAAGCTAAAGAAATAAGTTTATATTTATTCTTGGATATGAAAACCTATCTTTCGTTTCTCTATTTTCGCTTGCTCCTATAAATTTCTCGTCATCATTTCACTTCAAAAATATTTTATGTAATTTAATTTTTGGATTTGGAAGCTTATCAAACTAATCGGACAGGCTGTTGAATTTGGTCTAATTTGGTAGAATGTCAACAAACTGCTGTTTCAAGTCTTTTTATCAATAAAGAAATATCATTTTAATGGTTCATTTGAAAATGAACTAAAAGAGAAATTACTTGCACGTTACAGTAGTATTCTTTCCGATTCAAAGTAATATTTTCGTTCTTTAATAACAGAAATCAGCTTAGTTATTTTTGCAATAGTGTGAATAGTGCCGATCTTGAAGCGAAGGATATTCACGCGCAAAGTTATTTATAGATTATTTCAGTCGACCGTGGGCGCTTTCCATTTAGGAAAAAAACCCGGAAATTTCGGTGGGAGCAAAAGTGGAATTTCCGATTGGTAAAAAGTTGTTCCATTTGGTCGTAAACCCCGGTAGGTCGCGGTGCCCGACAGTGGACCTGGAACTGGTACAAACCACGAGAAACGTAAATGGAACACGACATTCCGTTACCAACCGGGAAAACGGGCCCACCTTTTTAGATTTTCCACTTTTTCTGGGAATTTTCCAGTGGGATGAACCGACGAAACGTGTTCCATTTACCTCCGAACCGGAAATTCCGGAAATTTTGACTAAATGGAAAGCGCCCCGTGTGAACTTTTCAAAAATGCACAAATGCTCACGCATGCGCACTCCGAGATTGTCTAGGCGTCTCCCGGCCGTTCGTCACGGATACGTCACCGAAATGCATTGACCGAGAAAGGCTTGGAAAGACGCGGTATAGGGACTAGGCAAGGTCAGTCATTGGGCTGCTATTCAGGGGCACCCAACGAGGGTTTCCTCCAGAGTACTTTATGATCTCTAGAAATGCATTCTAAGCGGCCCTACAAAATTTTAATCTGTTCGGTCATCCTAGGGGAACTTAAGTACTTCCGAAATTACAAGAAAATTTTAGGTGCAATTTAACGTTTTACGAAATTAAAAATTATTCAGATTCCTGTCTCCAGAAATAGAATAGAATCCGAAAATTTTGGCTTTTTCTTGGAAAATAGTGTAACCTGGGTAGTAAAATATGAAAAATTAAACTTCAGAAAATCGCAGGGAATTTATTACATAAGCTTCGAAAATTGAACATGAGTGGAACGGTCCTTCTATTAATTTTTAGCCGTCCTTAAGCAAAAGAAAATTCTAGGCAATATTTGCTTCTCCGAACAGATATTTTACAGGCAAGAGTCGTTGGGTGGCCCTGGCTATTTGGCTGGCATTGGTCCTCGCTTTGTATGACTTAGCTCGTTCTGTTATAGATGCCTGTTGGGTAGGTCAGTCATTGGGCTGTTACTTGGTTGGCATTACCTCTCGTTTCCCTCGTCTTAATGTTAGGCGGTTTTTTAGTACTTTTATTTGTTCTTATGCCGGTTGGGTAGGTCAGTCATTGGGCTGCTACTTGGCTTGCAATTCTAAGACCGAATTTTCCTATCGATTGTCAGCTCTCTAATTTGTACCAGACGTTCAATGTCACTGTTCGTGGGACAAGGGATGCGGTTTCGTTGGCGTCACGTTTAGTTTTGAAATGTTTTTCTTCTTCTTCATAGTTTTACAATTGTCCAACAATGTTTCGCTTTCCAGCTTTCACGGGAGCTTCGCTTCTTTTGTGTGGCTTGTCGCGGATTTTTGTCGCCCCACTTTTAAATTAGGTAGGTTAATCAGTTTACATATATCGATGTGTTGTGATTCTGTTGACCTGCCACAACCGTGGCCAAATTTATCCAACACAGTTGTTGGTTCACGGCGGTGCCAAACCACCCCCCAAAGGCCTTATTAAGGCTAACTTTACGTATTTTTTACATTTCTTTTCATTTCTCGACCAAACTTTCCAGGTAGACTACCATTGCTGACCAGATGATATTAAGTTTTTGTTTGACGCAAAATGTTAAATTGTGACGTCACAAAGGCTGACGTCCCCAAAATCGGTTAAATGCAGTTTATAATTTAAAGATAAACTTACATCATTTGAAAGGGCCTTAGAAGAGGAGTAAAACAGTGAAAACCGTTTCTGGCTACGACACGTACAACCCTAGTTATAAGACTTCAAAAAAATTTGATTTCACCCCCCGGAACCATACTTTTCCTTAAAAAACGACTCCTCTGATATTTTTTTCACTGTTTTTGGCAAAATAAGGTGATTTTGTAGTTGGCCAAAATCGTGTCATTTTAGTTTTTTGTTTTTTGACTCAAAAACACTAATTTAAGCAAACCAAAAAATTGATCACGTGACATTTTATGACGTCATAAAACTTGCTTTAGCTTTCGACAGTAAAGATGTGTTATGTGTAACTTAAACAGCAAGGGTGACTCGACAATAAAACTCTGAAATTAAGACTTATTTTAAAAGGGGGTACCCCGTTTTTGTGCTCCAAATTTATCCAAATTCAAAATGTCATATCTCAGCTCATACTTGAGACACTGAAAAAACTTTTTCAGCTTTCAACTTCCCTTGAATAGTTCTTTCAAAAACGATATAAAAATTTGGGAGAGTCAAAAGTTTAAAATTTACGTATGAATGACGTTAGCAAATATGACGTCATAATTTGACGTTGATGTCTCGTATTTTCAGGCCAAGTTTGGTTGGGAAAGAGTGAAAGCAAGCAAAGTTATTTTAAATTATTCGAAATTGTCACGTTTTGATAAGCCATTTTGGGGTGGTTTGGCCCCACCGTGGTTTATACTTTAAATCTCTTCCTTATCAGAAAGTACGTAACCGCGGAAATGCAAGCAGAGCTCGCGCAGAGTTGGGCCTTGTTTGAACTCATGCCTTGATATAAATACATTTTTTATTCGCTAAATTGGTGCAAATTTCAACAATTTTCAAGGAAGCATGCGCAAAAGCTCCTCTTGACTTGATGCTGCACATGCATTAACCAGTTACCCAAAACGTTAAGACTGCATAAGATGTATTGCAAAAGAAATTTTGTAATATAGTTTTTGGCCTTCATTGTTTGCACCTTGATTGTGTACTGTTTTGGCGGTCGAAATAACGTCCAACTACCGCGAAAAATCGATTCTGATATGTCGCAAATTTAAATATGATTACACTTACATGAAAGAGCTGTGATTCTTTTAACTAGACCCGAAGTTTCAGCACTGCAAATTAAAACGCTTTCGAATAATAAATTTTTAAATAGCCAGCCCCTCGAGCCACAGTACACGATAAGAATGTGAAATGTAAACAAGGCGAAAACCGTGTAAACAAAGGAGAAAATCACACCACAGTTACTTCTACCCCACTAAAGCGCAAAGAAATGATGTATTGCTATCTGGAAAGCTAAGACGGCGAAATTGTTTGTTTAAAAATATGAAAAGCAAAAAAAAAAAAAAACTCTTGAAAAAAGATCAATAGAATCGCGTCGGGTGACGATTTAATTCTGAACTCTGAAGTAAAAAGGCTTTCGGCCCATCCTGGTCAAGTCCTTCAAGGAGTCAAGAACTGTTTTCGACTGCCTCAATAAAATATCGACAAACTATGTCAGATAAGGCGCGGATAATAGATTTACTTTGGTAACAATGAACATATAGCAAGAAAGTCAGAATCATGATTACAAATGACACTTTTACAAAATTAAACGCAAAACGCAAATATCCTACATTTTTACAAAGTTACCTTTCAGGGCCCATTTTTTTTCTCGCGATGCAAGGCTCTGCAGCTGACCTTCATAACATGACGTAAAAACTAGCAAATAACTGAAATTTCTACATTCCGCTGATTTGTAAAATGAGACGTCTAACTTGGTGTCAAGTTACGTGCATGGTAATTTGGACAAATTACCCTGGAGCCTCTTCACGCAATCTTCCACACACGGTACACGTGACAAATGGTATCACCTCTAGCTCTTATAATGCGCGAGAAAAAAATGTTGTGTAGTTTTTATGGCTACTTCCTCCCTTTAGGGAAGGTGGTAGCCACTATGACATGGGGTTGAGAGTATGTCCCGGGGGGTACTCCCCTATAAAAGTGAAGGGGGTGCTCGTCGGAAAATTTCGAGAACACCCCTAAAGGGTTACCAGGATCTTGTTTTATGGGCGTGTTCCAGATTCATTGGTACCAATTCAACATCCACATCCACTCAACTTGTACTTATGACAACCGAATTACGGATAACTTATTTCAAATAAAAAGAGTCAGAGACATTTATTTGCATAACAAATACAGTCGAATCCCGATAACTCGAACCTTCAAGGGAAATCGAAAAAAGGTTCCAGTTATCGGGAGTTCGAAGAAAATAGCCGAGAGTAAGGTAAAAAACAGTTTTTACTGCACAGTGAACATTGTAATCACATTTAATTGTAGAAATGTCAAGTGAAAATTAAAAGATACCTCTAGATTATAAATCAGAACGTAACGTAACAAAACATAGCCTAAATAGAGCACGCGTTTTACTGTTTTGAGAAGAAAAGCTGCTTCACGTTAGCCTGTGACAATCAACATCAGCCTCCACTGGTAAACTATACTCCTACAACACGTCAATGGGAAATCCAACATTCAATGTTTCGGACGCCCGTGGACGGTTTTTTTCCCGACTTTTTAAGGGTTCAAAACATGGTTCAAGTTATCGAGGGTAAAATTATATAGAAAATGACCTGAGGGAAAACGAAAATTGGTTCGAGTTAGCGGGAGTTCGAGTTAACGAGGGTTCGAGTTATCGGGAGTCGACTGTCGACAGTTTTTCTATGGTAGGTAAAGCGGACTTGTTTACCGCATTTATTCGATTAAGCGCCCAACCTCGAATTAGCGCCAACCTCGAGTAAGCGCCCATCCTAAGGCAGAAAAAGTTAATAAGCGCCCAGCCTCGAATAAGCGCCCACCCCACCCCACTCCCTCCCACAGAAACTCCAATATATAAGAGATTATAAGAGACCCTGCCGTAGACGGAATTTTCTTCAGAGTATTTTATAGAAACCTTGCTTTGTTGCATCTTCGCTTTTTGTAATTAGCATTTACTGTTTTGTTGCAAAATATACTACTACACTTGCTGAGAACGGTGAAAATTTAATTAATAAGCGCCCACCTCGAATAAGCGCCCACTCTCAAGGTAAAAAAATTTAATAAGCGCCCAGGGCGGTTAATCGAATAAATACGGTACTTTAAAACCTTTCTGCAGTGCTTTTCGTGATTCAATTGTGTCAATTGTGAGAATAAATACAGACATTCCTTTATCGTGTGCGTAATTGCCGATTGTATAAAGTCATTTCAAAATATTTCTCCGTTCGCTCATGGAATCAGAGTGGCTGATTGCGACGATTCTGGCTCTTTTCCTTTTGATTTTTGCTATTCTGAGAGCCCAGCAGTTTCGATTTTTCTGAATGGTTCGACCGAGATTGGAAAATGAGCTGTTACGCTTGGCCCCACGTACAGGGGCACCCAACGGGAAATTTTGAGAAAAAGACCTAAAAACAACAACAAAGCGTGAATAAAGTTTTCTGAGACTATTTTAAGCATTTTGGGAGATTGCTGGAAAAAAATTATCTGTTCCTCACTCCCAGCAAGACTGATGGAAGAGTTCCCAGCCAGCAACCTTACAACCTGCAACCTGACTTACTGGGAAGTTTCATAGGGCACAATTCAGATCTTGAGTGGTAAGCAACCCATACAAGTAACCCGTAGCAGCTATTCTAGACTTCAAATCCCCTCTGACACCCTGAATTATCTTTTTCCCAGCAACACTTTCCTTCCAAGGACTATTATTTCTTCCACATCTCCCAGCCAGCAAAAATTTGCATGAAGAACAGATATTTTGAGGAACAGATCCGTTGGGTGCCCCTGCACGTATGGATAATTCGCAGACGGTGAAGCGTTCTCTCGACCAAAAACGGTACGGTCCACCATAGATTGTTCGATCGTCTAGATAACCGCCAGGGGGAATAATAAAACTACGAGATGGTGGAGCTCTGAAATGAATAGAAAAGAAAGAATAGAACGTTTGAAATGTGCCGTCAACATGTACAAGTCACTCGGTAACGTCAAAACATAACACCCAGTTAGGGTAAAAAAAAGAATTAGCGGTACTTATATGACTGTGTGTTTACTATTCAGAAATATAATAAACTATAGTATGTTGAATAAAAACTCACCTTGACGTAAATGAATAGTTGTCTCACATGTCATAATAGTTGCCTACAAATCCGAGGTCCTGGCAGAAAGAATGTGCGTAAAGCTGGCGCAATCAAAGAGTTGCATATCAAGAATACTGACAAGTTGTCAGCTAAAAAAAAATCAAAAAAAAAAAACGTTTGGATAAACTTCTGATTAACGAACTCGATTCAGGTCGATTTACGCTAGTAAACTTAGCTTTTATCCTGCCGCCGTTGCCAACTCGACAGACTAGACGGGCGTTTACCATAATAAAGTGAGAAAAGCCGGTGACTGAAACTATGGTAAACTCTACCGAGTACTCGTAGAGTAAAAAAAGCCCCAGTGTGACCTCAGCTGGTTTAATTCTTACTTTGTTATAAGTTGTATTGAAACAAAATCGCTAGAGTTGAACAGGGAAATAGATGGAAATGCCTTAAGAGAAATTAGGGAGGAAAGGAAACTCGGGTAACTGGAGCGGAAGGGTCTTGCAATCGACTTAGCAAATTCTTGAGCGGTGTTGTATTTAAAAGTAACGTAGCCTCCCCGCAGACGTCCTTTGGGGCTCGTTCGTCACGCATTCATTTCTCCCTCACGGTCCGTGGGGGAGAAATGAATGCGTTACGAACGAAATCCAAAGGACGTCTGCGGGGAGGCTAAAAGTAGCGCGGATTATAGACAATGCTTGATTTTATTAATGACGCTAAAACTGCTCAGTGAGTGGATTTGACTTTGAATGTGGCAAGGTTTCTCGACGCTCAGATTTCTTCACTCATTGTTATTTTTATGACTCTTTCAGCGTAAGTGGCTTGAATGTGCCTGGTTCAGAAAGTATTGTATTTCATGGCATACTTCCGTGCTCTATCGAAAATCTGACAATCACCTACAGTGGCAAGGATTTATTCAAGTCATCCAGTCATGTGTAGTCAAGACGAGCAAGTCTGTAATAGCCATCATGCAGAATGTGTTTCGCCAGTTACGGCATAGTACCCACACGTAACCGACAAAGGCATACTGTCTACAGAACAGAGCTGGAACTTCAGGTTTCGTTGAAAGAATCACAGGTATTTCATGAAATATAATCATTAGCCTGAGTATCAGGCTTCATCTTTCCCCCTTTCCCCAAGAAACGCCAGATACTCAGGCTGTATAATCATATGAAGTAAATTTGCGACATTTTTCTTTAAGAGAAAACCAAAGAAACACGTATTTCTTCCTAGTATTATTACAATTCAAAGTAATATGCTACAAAAAGTGGCATGCCCTGGGTAACTTTTTTTAGAACCATAATGCAATTAATTTTTTTTTTTTTTTTTTTTTTTTTTTATTTTTATTTCGTCGTTGTACTCTTTTGTCGTGTTCTTTGTGAGTGTGGGTGTGTGTGTGTGTGTGTGTGTGTGTGTGTGTGTGTGAAATATTCCTTCACTATTTTAAGCTTCTCTTATTACATCTCACTCGCTTTAATAACCACATTACAGTTCCTTGATGAATTTGCGTGATTTGCGTGACTCAGCTTTAACTGAGCCTAAACTAACACGCGAACACGCTAAACACAAACAGACAAAATGACCAGACAAATCGGTAACTCCAAGAAACACTGAGAAAACGCGGCTCCCTATAGCTACTGCTGGGGTTAATGCAGTCTCTATTTCAACAGTTGACTTACCTCCTATCAGTCTGTTACTAACAGAAGACATGAAATCAGCTACTTGCTCTGAAATATAACAGAAAACGCCTTAGAATATTCAAATTCATCCTTATGTAACAACAAGTGAAAAAAGTACCTCTTCGATTTTCAAACTCATCTTCTCGATTTCGTCTTGCTTCGAGCCCCTCAACATTTCTTAGCAAATCGCCTTGTTCTGTTTTGGTCAAAATCTCCTTTAACAATCCTAGGCAGTCAATCCCCAGGCAGTCGTTTCTTTCCAGTTCTTCAAACAGCGATCGAACGTCTTGAATGTTGCTCTCATTCGCTTCCGCAAATTCCATTCGGCAAATAGAGATCAGTCGTTCCATATCATTGAGTTCGTCGAGTACGAGAATAATCTGCTCTTTCAAGCCAATGTATTCTGTTCTTGTGCTCTCGAATTTTTTTACTTTTCCTAAAAGGGACCATTCTTTTAAACCTTTGAGCAAGTCTTTCAGAACCTGCAGGCGATCAACTCCCAAATGGTTGCGATCTTCTAGTTCTTTAAACAACGATAGCGTATCTTGGATGCTGTCTTGTCTGTTGGATGCAGACGCTAATTTCTCTCTACACGTAAAACGCAACCGCTCGAGTACATTTTCTTGGTCTAGCTTCTCGCTTATTACAAAAAGTAAATTGTTATACTCGATATTGGACATTTTAACGTTGGGCAAGGCGTCTGATCGGATGTGCCTTGCGTTTGCCCTTCCTGATCACGTGACGTTCCGATCCTTCCCAGTGGGCCATAGACGAGTTTGGTTGCTAAGGAAACTGCGCTGCTGATGCAGCGACCGTGGGCGAATGAAAAGCAATTGCAAGGGTCAAATTTAAATGGGCTATACGTCACCAGGATATAGAAGGCTTCGGTCAATTCTGTCCTAAAGTCATTACTTAATGCATTTAGCCAGACACAAAATGCCCCTGTAGAGTCATGAAGGAGCAGGAGCCCATGGGCTCCTGGAACGAGATATCGAACAAATTTCAGGAGAGAGCACTAACAACAATCAGCATAGTAATCGGATCCTGCCACAATACTTTTTTTTAGTGATGCTTACGCTGGGTATTGAAACTTGAAAACAATTCAATCCATGCCCATCCTTGCCATCGGTTGCAACGTTTTAACTTTCAAAAAAAAACAAACAAACAAACAAAGAGCGTGACAAAGCCCCTTTGAAGCACTAATGTTGTGGTTAAACTATTGTATACCCCATGTTCCTATGGAAATATCGGTTAATCATGGTCAAAAAGTAGAGATCTATTATGGGTTTATTTTAATCACAAACTCAGCAAAAAAATACCCCCCTCTCCCCCACCTAAAACTTGAAACTTAACGAAAGCCCCCCTAAACTCATCATCATCATCATCCTTTCACCACTGGAGTGGACGGGACATTCATGGTGATCTCCTCCCAAAATAACACCCCCTCGTAAACGAAATCTGCAAGGTTTGTTACCTTCCAGACCGTAAGGTCTATCTCATTATAGGCATTATTCTGAAGAAGAGGTCAAAAACGAACGAAATTTCTATATCACTGAAGAGTCTTTCAAATCTCTATATCTGCCTGTTACGATATCCTTCATATATTGTTGAAGAAAATTTTAAATGTTTTCACCACTCCATTCAGGCTGGTAAAACAACTATCTTCACAGACCCGCTCATTTCCTTATTTTGCAACTTTTTCACACAACCACTCCCTCATAAACCGGCCAACGACCAACTTTTCGAGTTTCCAATGGATATTTTCTTGACAATTTTACCTCGTAAACTCGAACAGTCGCCCCAAGAGAATAAGTGAGGAAATCAATCTGACACTGAAAAAAGAAAAGTCTTTGTAATTGCGTGAAATATTTTTCAATCATTATCCCGGCACAAGGCCGTAATTCTGTAGTGAGTACAAATGCACAGTATACATGCACAGATGTGAACACTAACAGTTTATTTGAGGAAGATACTGTATTTAGAGAAAATGATGATGAATCTTTTTTTTTAGGCAAATGGCGATGCTCCAGTTTTCCAAAATGTTTGTTTGTCAATAAAATCAGCTATATCAGATAAAACAACAACAACAAGCCTTATTAGCATGACCACAGAAGTGCACAGAGTATTGCAAAAGAAAAAAAGACGTTTTTCTTCTTAAAATCGCTTTTGCAAAATAACTTCATTAAAGAATAATTCGTCGCGAAAATCAAAGCAAGCTCAAATACTTAGTGAAAGATACACTGATATAATCACTGATAAAAATAGATTAATCAGTTTTTTTTTACGTGTAGCTGGGTAATATTTGGAATCAGAGTCTTGACTTAATTGTAAAAATTATTCTTTACCAAAGGGTATTTAGATAGTGAACTTGAAATGCCTAATGTATTATCTCTAGCAATAGTAGTTTGATTGTATCTAGTACCAAGTTCCATCAATAGTTTCTGGTTACGTAGCCCCTTTTATAAAAGTGGTGGGAATGCTCTTGGAAAATTTCCAAAAGCGACTCTGAGAGGTTAAACAGGAATCTGGCTTTGTAGTTGTGCATTCACGATGTAACCTGGGATCACGTTCTTCTCCCCTTTTCGCGTTCCCCCGTTGAAAAAGGACGCTCAAATTTCAGGTCGGAATTTATCGCCTCTTTAATTTGTGCTGGAAAAATCAGTCATTGTTCAAAAAAGTCGATCAGTTGAGCAACAAATTTAGTTCACATAAATTTGACTCCTCTGCAGCTTGCAAAACTGCTCACAGGTACCCTGACAGCTATAACTGAGGTCATTTTAGATAAGAGAGACGCGTGGTACCATTCCACAAATTTTAACCCCTATTAAAAAAGGACAACTAGCATAGGGGAGCCGTACCACCCTAGTGTTAATCTCGGCGGCATTGCATACACCGTATTCACAAATGGCAGACACGTGGGAAAAACTGGTGCCTAGTCATGAAAGCGAGGCGTTGGAGGATAAACAAAAATTGCAAATGAAGACTTTCAGTGAACTTGCAGAGTGTTAAGCGCGGATTCCACCTAAAATAACTTTGTACGGACTTCTTTTTAAATACAATTACGTGGGATGTCTTCTGCTTTTAATGTTTAGTAGTGATTTGCAGTTTGCAATCAAAAGGGACGCGTATATCTTCAAGGAAACAGGATGATTTTGTAGGTTTCCGAAGAATCAGAAGCTCGACAAGTGGTCGATCGCCGGAGAAAAGCGGCAAACATGTTGGCCCAAACTTCACATTGAAACCGAGTACGAAAGCCAGCTCACTGCAATTCGGTGAAACAGAAATATAAACAAATCTTGGTGGCAAGAAAAAAAGAAATAAGCGACAGATATATGGCCTACTTGTTAACGCAAGAGACGTCTGCCGTTGAACTCAAACACAGTGAGTTCAAGTCGAGATGGAAAAAAAGGAAGACAGGAAAGAAGAGGTGACTGAGGTTTCGATGAAGTTATACCTGGTTTTTGTTTGCCAGGACGTTATTCTCTGGTCTGTATCGATGAAGGACATCAATTAGAACTATTTTTTTGGTATAAATGCAGGAGCGATCGAGTGGAGTACGCTCAAAATTTCAACATGTTACTCGGCAGACTCGGTCAGCCGGCCACATATCATTTCAGTGAGTAATTTCGTATTTCTTATCTTTGGCTGTTAAGACTTTTAACTTAATGTTTCATAATATTTTAAAGTTGAAGAATACATAAATAAATAAAATGGTGGTCTTCTTAAACGGATCCAGACTCGAATTTAATTATTCGAAACAGAAGCTTGCCGTGTTCATTCCTGACAGAAACATTGCCTTAAAAGTTTAACCTAGTAAAATGTAAGCTTTATACTACTTTTTTACCAAGAGCTCTCTGAGATAATGCCCTAAAGGAGACCAGGCAAATAGCAAGCCATAAGATTCACACAGTACAGCTTCTAGTTTTAATAAAATTATTTTTAATTATTTCGCAATGACAAAGAAATCACGAGATTTTTACTAAGCTCTGCCAACGTACCTCAGTAACAATTCACTCCAAAGCGACGGAATTAATATGATCCAAAGGAAGTTGTAAATGCAGAAATACATATATACATAGATATGTATAAAATGACACTGACAGGTATAAATGAGCCTTGTGAATGAATCTTTCACCCGCTCTCGACTTGACCTGTTTTATGTAATGGCGGAGGTCTCTTCCGTTAACAAGTAGGCCATATATCCGTCGCTTATTTCTCTTTTTCTCGCCACCAATATCTGTTTTTATTTCCCTTTTACAGAATTGTAGTGATCTGGCTTTCGCACTCGGTTTCAATGTGAAGTTTGAGCCAACATTTTGCCGCTTTTCTCCAGCCATAGCCCACTTGTCAAGCTTCTAATGCTTCGGAAACCTACAAAATCATCCTGTTTCCTTGAAGATGTACGCGTCCCTTTTGATTGCAAACAGAAAATCATTACTAAACATTAAAGGTAGAAGACATCCCACGTAATTGTATTTAAAAAGAAGTCCGTACAAAGTTATTTTAGGTGGAATCCGCGCTTAACACTCTGCAAGTTCACTGAAAGTCTTCATTTACAATTTTTGTTTATCCTCCAACGCCTCGCTTTCATGACTAGGCTCCAGTTTTTTCCCGCGTGTCCGCCATTTGTGAATACGGTGTATGGTGAGTAAATTTGCTGGGTTGTTTAGATCAACGTAGACAAACACTTAATTTATAGCGACATATACTGATTGCTGAATGTGGCTTATTTTACAAATAGTTAATTAATACTTAATTATGTAGATCAAAGAGGCATTAACACTTATTTACAGAACACTCTGAAATAAAACAAACAAACAAAGAAAAAACCAATAAGACAAAAACGTATCTACTAAAAGATTACAATTTTAATTACATGCACACGAACTTAATTAAAGGGGAGAGATGTCTTTCGGCCATTTTTCATAAAAGGTTTCTAATTTATTATTCTTAGTGAAAATATATTTTTCAACTTGGTATTTAATTCTTACTTTAAATTTGAAACCTTAGATGTTTGGAAGCGCCTGTTTCTGTTTCTTTTTTGTTTCATTTTGACATCGTCATTCCAATTATAACCTCTCGTAAACACAACAAGTGGAATTCCTTTGTTATTGTTAAATAATACTGTTCAACATTTTTCCACAACATATTTGAGTGCCAACAGTATTGAGAGAACTCTTCAGCCAGCTGCGGCCCGTTGTCCGAAACCACCTCCTCCGGTATTCCGTAGAGTGCAAACAACATGCGTAAAAAAACCTCAGTGGTTGTCAAGCTGGTCATAGAACTCATGGGGATTACCTCCACCTACCTCCAATCACATAGAATAGGCAGCAACAAAAATCAAGAAACCCAACTTGCCGTTCTCAAAGAAATCAATGCGCATACACTCCCTTTGCTTAGCAGGCCATTTCCAAGGGTAGATAATGGTGCCCCCGGAGGTTACTTACCCACGGCAGTATAAACATGACAAAGCCGAACCTTCTCAACAATAGCGGCATCCAATCCCGGCCACCAGAAATAACCCCTCGCCAAAGACTTAATGAGGCAGATCCCGTAATGCTCCTCCTACAAGTAATCCAAAAGACAAAAACGATACTTCTCAGGGATAACCCCAGGTAAACCGCACATACAAAACACAGCTTTGTTTGTGAGAGGTACGTTCTCTCTTTATCAAGATCGA